TAATATATTATATTATGTTTGTAATATAATTATAAACGCTAAAAGAAAATACGACCAATTTTCACGCGTGATATTCTTCGAAACGAGAGCAACGAATGATTCTCGTTCGTGAGATTTACAAATTTTGAAAAGTCAATTCATTGACGATACGATTAACGATACAAGCATCTATATTATTCTCGATCAAAAAATGAATTGTAATAATAATCATTGAAAAAGTTTTCCACAAAATTTCAAACTTCTACGAACAATAATTCGCACCCAAGAAAATTTCGAGTTAAACGCAGTGTTTAAATTCGCGTTTCGACCCACGGATAAAACATTCTTTATCCCTTGCACGAATCTTGACTTTCTCACGATTCACTAGCGACCGAAATGAACGTCATAATAAAATAGTATGTTTTCAGTGTGCGCTAATAATTTTTATGTTTCGGCCGAAATAAAAAAGAGAGCGATAAATTCTATAATAGAACGAGGTTGGCACGCGAATGGCGGACCCCCCTCTTCTTTTTTATACTTCAAAGTAGTCGAATCTGGAACGTTGAAAAAACTGGTCCTCGACCCCGTCACCTTTGAAAAATAATAATAAAAAAAAAAACGTACCATGAGAACGATTAATTCCTATGATTTTGGTTTCTTCTTTTTCTCTTTTTTTTTCTTTTTTTTTTCCTTTTTTTCGGTAGATCGACTGGTCGCGCCATCTGCGTAGGATTTTGTTATTACAAACTGTACAAAGTATATCTTCTTCGCGTATATCATATCTCTAAGATGGAAACGATTAGTTCAATGAATCCTCTTCGTCGCTTAATCTTCAACGATCTTCGATATATTTATATTTATATTTATATTTATATATATTTATATTTATTTATACTGTGTTTCTCTTTGTCTTTCTCTCTCTCTCTCTCTCTCTCTCTCTCTCTCTCTCTCTCTCTCTCTTTCATTCTCTCATACTCTCGTCCTTTCATCCTCGTGACAGATGTGTTCTTCCTACAAACAGAGATGATCGATCGGATGACAGGTGTAAGATATGTACGAGTTCAGAAATATTTATATACGTGTATATAATACAATTTTCACGTAAGCGTCAAGCGTTACTTCCGCCCGATTCGTGGCTCAACTTCTCTCAAGATATGCGTTAGTTCTCTATTCCCCGGGCAGAATAAACGTTATTCCGTGGAAATACGTACGTACGATATGTCAATGATACGTGATATTCAATCCTTAATTAATAATATTCGCTCGAACGGATAATCGATAATTTCAATTTCGATAATTAATCGCGCGAAAGGAGCCCGTTTTTTCTCCGCTCTATTGATCGAACGTGAATCGAATGGGAAGCGTCATAAATTCAAATAAATTTGAATAAACGAGGAATTAAGCGATGAAAGAAGATCGGGCTGAAATGAAAGAGATAATGGTCGTGTTGGTAATTGAAAAGGAAGAAGAAAGAAAAAAGAATAAAAAAGAAAGACAGATATAAAAAAATTTCTAAAATTCATTCGATCTCTCTCTCTCTCCCTCTCTCTCCCTCCGATTCGATCATTTTTCCCCTTCGTTCTTCTCTCCCGCTATTGTGCACGACCGATCGAGAATCCTTTTAATTTTCTTTCTCTCAATTTGTAGGAAGAACCTACGTATGTATGCACGTGTCGCCTGGTTCGATCGCACAGAAGACGATCTCCACCAAGCCGAAATTAAAATTTCTCACCGTTAATAATTCGTTAAGCTCATCAAAGTGGATATGTACATCGATCCTTCTTCCTTTCTTTCTTTTCTCTTTTTCTTTTTCTCTCTCTCTCTCTCTACAGGACTGTTCTCGTGTTCTGTACGATCGATCGTGATCTCCCTTCTCCTCGCATCCCTTCGCCCATTTATTTGTTCCACCGTTATCGTTCGTTCGTCGATGAACAACACTACTCTCTCGATCACACGCATCTTCGAACGAATCAAAAGAAATTCGATCGTTTCTCGTCGAGTGTGACAAGGGAAAGGATCGAAACAATGATATCGCAAATATCGGATTTCCCTAAATACAATGGCAGTATTTCTTTAATTTCGTCGGTCTTACGATTTAGATTAATATTTAATAAATTACCAACGATCGTTTCATAGACAATATCATAGACTTTTCATATTCAAAATGAAACCTGCCTCGACCGTGGGTGGCTCGATGAAAGGGGGGTCGTTTCTCCACGTTTCTCGTAATTCTTTTTCCTTCTTTTTCTTCTTCTTTTTTCTTTTCTTTTGCTCGAATAAATATCGAAGAACGCTCGTAAACGTTCGAAACATTGACAATTATCGTTATTATTATTGTGTTTCTTTCGTAAAGGATAACGAATAATGGCGGAACGATGATCCCTTTTACCGAACCACTTTCAGTCGCGTGCACATTTATCACTTACACTTCCTATGGCGATTTATATATATATATATATTTTTTTCTTTTTACAGATCACGAGAGTGACTGTGCGTTTTTTAGCCGAGTAACGTAATAAATTCCAAAACAACGCGATTTATCGCCCTTATAGCGAGCTATCGCCCTATCGTCACACCACCCATTTACACCCTTTTCATCGCTAATTTCTTCAATTATATTATCCTTTTGTTACAGCCCGCTATTAATCGCCGCTTACAAACTCGTATTAACAATTATTATAAATTTCTCATTGTTCCACGTTGAACACGGTTCGTGTAACCGGATGAATATTTTCTGCGCGCGCATTTCAATCTCATCCCTCTCCGCTCCGAAAAGATAATTCCGAACGAGCGTAATTTTCAATGTTTAATAAAAAAATATAGGACAGGGGAGGAGAAAGAATGGGGGGAGAAATAAAAAAAAAGGAACTATATAAAAATTCGCCCATAAAAGTCCATAAAACTAAATATTAATTGAACGCGATACAACGTGTTTCAAGTAGAACCTATAAAATTAATTTTTCCAAAAAAAGAAAAAAAAAAAAAGAATGGAAAAAAACGAAAACAAAAATAAACGAAATAAATTCGTTTCAACAACAACATGAACGAATAGAATGAAACGAAAAATAGAAATGGAACGAAATAAAATTGGAGGGAAAAAAAGAAACGAGAAGTGAGCAGGTAGTGGAAGGCGAAATCGATGCCCGATTATTCGCAAGAATTATTTCCGACCCTCGATCACCGGGCAAAAATTCGCCTGTAAAAAGGCGAGCAAAGGTATATCCACCGGGTAAATGGACCGTGTCTCTATTCCTTCCTATAAACGTAACTTCAGGTCACGCGAGTGGGCCTCTCTCTCTCTCTCTCTCTCGCTCCAATCAACCACCTCTATCCATCCTTGTCCCGCGGAACGACGACGACGACGCGAATTCGACTCGAGGTCAGGTTTCGGTCCTCGAGACGTCGCGAATCGATAGGTCGAACTGTGGCGGGAAAAACGACGCCACGCGACCGCCGAGGGGAATACAAGCTGCTCGAAAAAACGACGTTCTCTAATAAATTTTTTACGCTATCGGTTAAACCCTTTTTTTTAACATCTCTTTACATCTGCTATATTTATTTATTTATTTATTTATTTATATATATATGTATACGAAATTTTTTTTCTGTTTCTTTATTTACTTGCAACCTCTAATGGTATTGTCAAACATTTATGCACTTCGGCTAAGCGCATCTTAAGCTTATTAGTAATAATCTCAGGGAACTTAAAGGTAAGCCAGCAGGCTCTCGAGGAATTTTTTTTTTCAATTTTCAATTTTTACACTCCGACGAACTTCGACCATTCTATGACCGCTTTATTTATTTATTTATATTTATTTTTATGGCTAGTAAGTTATGGACCCCTCTGATGATTCGATAGATAATAAGATTAGTGAATTGACACAAGTTGTAAGAGTTGTAAGTTGCGATGAAAATGTAATTATAAATCTTCGTTATTAGTTTTATTGCCAAACTATTATCCGATACACTAGTAACTAGTAATTCGTTAAATTTCACTAATGTTACTAGCTCACTTGAACCAGAGGGCGCCAATGTAATCCAAATTCCAGCAGTATTTCCATATCAATTAAATTCTTCTCCCTCCCTCAAAAAAAAAAAAAAAAAAAAAAAAAAAGAAAAGAAAAAGAAAAAGAAAGAACAATCTCGCACATTTGCCATGCTTCGTTTCCAACTTCCATCCAGAGTCAATTTACCATTCAATCAAACCAAGAACCAAGAAACGTATTTTCCACTCCCGTTTCACATCTCTCAGGATTCGTTCTCGATTCTTAAAACTGTGTAACAGGGCGTCACTGTGCGATAAAACGTTCGCTCGATTATTGTGTCCTCGATTACTTATCGGATACACAACGACGAGGAATCGTCACGAGAAAGAGAAGCTACCCAATGGATCGAATCGAATCGATCCACTCGCTATAATTTGTTCCTTCGACTTTTCTTCTCTTCCTCCTCCTCCTCTTTTCCCCTTCGTAAAAACTTCGTAGACGCGCAATGGTTTACGAAGAGGGTTTTTCACGCGATGGTATTTCTCGGCCTTCCGGATCGGATCACACGTACAACGTTGGACACAGGTTGAGGGGAGAGAAGAGGTTTCCAGGAAATGATCGGTGGAGACCGTTTGTTGTATCCTCCGCGATTTTCCAAAGTCCACGGGCCACGTGTATTCTGAACGTGACGCGAGTGCCGTTGCGGCGGGTGTCATAAGCTTGTTTGCTGACAGTATCAATTTCAGAAATGGCGTGTGCGCGATTTATTGAACGTGCTTTCCGCCCATTGGACCCGCGCTAGGAACGCTCCCATTTCGTATATATATATATATCCGCTTGCTCGAGATCGTTCTCGCGCTGTTATTTTTTTTTTATTTTTATTTCTATTTATTTTTCTTATCTTCGTGCTTTGTTGCTTTTTTAATTGCACGGTTACGCGCGGTCAACGTTTCAAACAGGACGAAAATAATCTTAGAAGAAGAGTAACGGGCGATGAAAAATTATTATTCCATAAAATTTTGATTCGTCATTTTTTTTTCTTTTTTTTTTTTCTTTTGATTCTGCCAATATCGTGAAAAATATTACGAGAATTATAAATTTCGAGAGAAGATCGAGGAGAGATCATGGAAAGGAATTGTTTGTAACAAATTCCCTCATAATCGTTCAAGATCGCATGATACGATGATTATAATAATAATAATTCACCGCGTACAAGTTGCACAGTTTATTAAAAAATTCACTAGGATTATCGACGATAGAGCAACGAAGAACCATTTCGATCACCGTTTACCTTTGTCTTCGACGATTCGACAATCAGGAATTGATCCCCGTCACTACTACTAACTTGGCCTGACCTGGTGTAACTTGGTCGTCGAAGGGGAGTTCCACCAGTTCCCGTTCAGCTCGCCGATCATAGAAAGCCGGATCAGGTTCCAGCCTTCTAGCTCTCTGTATCAGGTGTCGTTCGTGTCCCCGTGCTTGTAACCGAGATTTTTCCTCTGGAGGAACATGTGGATCTCCCGGAAGCTCGGCCTGTCCACGTCGTTCCTGTGCCAGCACTCGCGCATCAGCTCGTAGATATCTTTGGGGCAGTTTTTCGGCAGGGGAAGAATGATCTGGGGGAAATACATTCGGGATAAATTCGAAAAAAATATGGAAAAAGATGTTCGAGTCGTTCGTCAAAGTTGTGAATTCGATTACAAATGTTATCGTGCTCGTACAGTTTGAGAATATTCTGCTGCGTTGTTCGTTGATTCGAATAAACAGAAATAAATTGAAAGGTTTGGTGGAAATTTTGTACAAGTGCGTTTTTTAAAAAAAAAAAAAAAAAGAAAAAATAGAATTAATACGATACGTATTTGTTTCGAATGTTTTTTTTTTGTTGTTGTTGTTGTTGTTGAGTTTCTGAATCTTTCATCGAGTAGATTTTTGCGAATTTTTGTGTGGAATATATATTAAAATTATTATTATTATTATTATTATTATTTGCAATAAAAAGTCAGATCCGTGTATTTCGAATAATTTCCATAATTCAATGTATAAATATTGCGATGCATAATGGAATTGTGCGGTATATTTAAATGAATTTATGAAAGAAAAAATTAAATAAAATTATTGGTAAATATACGTAATAAAATTAGTAATAAAATTTTGAAATTTTGTACGTGTAACAACGTGTATGTATGTATCGTGTGTGTATATATATCCTACCTATTATACATTATTATAATTTCGCGTATATTTTATAACACGTTAAATAATTCTTTTTACGTTCTATTTCGACAGAAAAGAAACGTATCGTAGAACAGACATATCGATACGAAACAATAGATGTAGAAATTTTTTAAAGAAAGAATTTTTTTTTGATCAACAGAATACTACTTTCACGCAAAATATAGAAAAGAACTTTCGCACTTTGATATCTTTTATTCTTCAATTAACGAAGAATAAAGTTTCAAGTGTAACATAATATAAAAGATAGAATTCTACGATACATTTTTACGAACATACGCGGTTTCTAATTAAAGTTTCATCATTTTATTCACACACTTCTCTCAACTCCTCCTTCCTTTGATCATCTAATAATAAGGATTTAATTATTAATAATTTAATCGTTTAATTAAATCGTAATAAGAGAAAGAGAAATCGAGAAGTTGGAAAAACGAATGGTGAACGTTCATGGAGATGAAAGGCTTTAAGGAAGATCGTTCAATGCGAGATCTACTAGTGTTCATCGAATCGCGTGTGCGAGCAGGACGAGGAGGAATACTTACCCTTCTATCGTCCTCTTGGTAAAAATACGTTGCATTCTCGACTATGCGATGATCGGGCAGCTCCTCGAACGGCTGTTCCCTTGCGAACGTTAAAATCTCCCAAAGAGTTACTGCGAAAGACCAGACGTCGCTCTTCGATGCGTGTCTTCCCTGAATTCATTTGTAATTATGCAGTTTCGATCATTGTATCGAGACAGACTGATTTCGGACAGTGGAAATTTTCATTTTCACTTCCAAAGTTTATATTTAACGATGCACGCATAAACAATTGCACTTTTTTAAATGAGATTTTAAATCTGATGTTGTGGGCAAAGTATGGAAAAATTCGATGGATGAACGTGTTGAAGTGAAATGAATTTCAAAAGATAATAAAGGATAATTTTTTAATTCGAAAATAATTGTGAATCTCAATTTTGAACTCGAAATGTTTATCGATGTTAAATGTTTGATATTTAGAAAGAGAAACGAATTTTTTTAATCTTTTAATCTTGTATTCAAAATTCTATTTAAAATTACGTTAACATCCATACTGAATATTGTTGAATATTTTTCAATAGATAAGATTTATCTTTTATTGCTTTCCGCATGAATTACCCTACGTTTTGCCGTAATATTTTTCAATATTAAAATAATTTAACACAAAAAAGAAGATCCAATTAAAAAAGTAAGTAATTGCAAATCCAGTTGCTTTTCCATTTAAGGATCGATACGAGAGATCTAGTTTTTCTGAATATTATAATATTAATAGCAAAAAAAATTTCACAGTATCGAGAGAGAAAAAGGAAACAGATAAAAAAAAAAAATTCTAAAGCGTAGCAGACAGGTCCAAAAAAGAGCAAAGCTTCGCAAAGCATAACCCTGCGGAATCGAGGTGGAAAAACGTGGAAAATGTAACAGTGCCTCGGTCATAGTTTAAAACTATCGTTAATCAAATTCATCCGCCCCAGTGTGAACGTTTTATCTTGAATGTTATTTGAAAAATTGCAATTGGACGACTCGAATAGATCGCCCGAAAAATCGAAATATTTTTTATCGTGTAATTTAATACAAACAATAAAATATTAAACGATAATTCGATCAATAGTAACGCACATAAAAAAAAAAAAACACACACAAATGGAATATTCGATTTTCAAGAAGTGAAGTTGAACGCACGATCGGTTTTTATTTTTCACTGTCGCTAATTCATCGAGATAAAAATGGGGAGGGGGGGAAAAAAATACATCGGATAACCAAGAAAATTCTGTGTTGTTACTTCTGTGATAGAAAATATCTATATAATATGATCAATACACGTTTATAAAATTTGTTTTATCAAAAAAAAAAAAAAAAAAAAAAAAAAATTGGATTAAGTACGTTCCACGTTTAACGGCAATAAATAACAAAATTTTCAAAAATAATTATCGCAAAGTTGAAAATTTCTCGTTTGCAAAATATAAATTTGCATAAATACAATTGCAAGAGGGAAACAATAGACAATTATCTTTAGAATCAAGAATGGAGAGATTCCTTCATGATTTTTGATATTTTCCCCTGTTAAGCAAAATAAGGAATAAGTCATCTTTCTTTTTTTCGTCGCGAGGAGAAGATAAAAATTTCTCTGAAATTTCGTGACGAAAATAATATTTTTCCCCCCGTGTCCTGTCGCGTAAACAGTAGTTCGAACTAGAAATCTATTTACGAGGCGGCGTGCACGGCAGGTGGTATCGTTGCTTGACGAGAAATTACTTCAACTTAAGTGTTTCAGTTACGTAATTTCATGAAACTACTCCATCTTAAGAAGCGGTGTACACGACGGCATCAAGTTTAACGGGTAACACGCATGTACCAGAAACTCTATATATATATGACTCTCTGTTGTGCAACGTGCGTGCACGTGCGATGATTAAAACAATCGTTACGCCCATTAATCCGACATCGTAATTAGCCGTTGAGTATTAAATGCGATTAAAAGTCTCACTGAAAATAAGAATCGATGGGAAACTTAATCATTCGTTTTGTAAATGGAATCCGGATCACGATGTAAGATTATTCGTTTATAATTTCGTGGTAGATTAACAGATTTAATCTTAGAATGTTTATATTATTGACTTAATAAGAAAATCTTTAAATTATTCACTATATAAGATTCTTGAACAAAAGTTTAATTTCAAATCTTACTCAACATTGACAGCTTTCATAGTTTCACTTATAAATTCATTCAATGTTTCCAATATTGTAATTAACCCTTATTCCATGTATTAATTCTGATTAATCATAAATTATGCTTCCTATATTTTTACAATTGCATCGATAATCCTTCCTATCAATCCTTTAGCCACACAACGAAGAAAAAAAAAAGTAAAGTTGTAAATCTCGATAGCTTCCCATCTACAATTACTATCACTAACTTCCCCTTAAATTTCAAACTCTCGATATTTGTAAATTAAAAATTAACACCTTTTCACTTATTCTTTAAAAAAAATAACAATAAAATTCCAAACCTCGTCAATTTCGATAAAACTTTCCGTTTCACCTACAAACTTCCCCTTTTCGTTCTCCTCGAGCGTCGCAGCAACCCCCGTTATCCCCAGCCACGTGTTAACTTTAATGCCACCAGTTGTAGGTAATTTTGGTAATTGTCGTAAAGTTTACGGGGGAACAGAATCGGGGGACATTGGTTCCAACTTAATAAAGAAGTCGAACGGTTTAAATCATTAAATCGACGCTAATTCCGGATATAATTCTTGGCCCCTTGGCGGTGGGTGCGCGCGCGTGCACGGAACCATTGGCCCCGTTTCATTAACACAATGGCGCGGGATGGATAAACGATGGCAATAATGAAACATTAACGGCGCAGTCAATTCTGAAAATGACTACGCGAACGAGCGAGGGGGAGGGAGAGGAGGTAGGGGAATAGTATATCGGCCGCTCGTTTCCCATTTACCCGAATTACCATTTACCTATCAATTTGCCCCAGCACGGATTTCATTCATACGCGATTTCCGATGCTAATGGGTCCCGCGCTCATCGCTCGATCGATGCCTCGATCTCACCCACTCGAACGGATCGAATCCGCGATAAGATGAAACGCTTTTCGATGCACGAAATTCGAGCTCGATTGACTGGCAAAGTGTACAAAATGTTTATAAATATTTTGCGATCGGTGCTTCCCACCGATAATCCTTCGTCTCTGTATCTTTTATAGAAAAATAAGTTGGTCGATTTACAAAAACGTGTCCAAGTTTTGGAAATATATTCGACGACGAAATTTGCAGGCCAGGAAGAGGGTATATAATTTAAATACTTTGCAATCGTGGACTCGATCGAATTTCTCTATCTTTGGAAAAACAAGGGTTCGTTGGCCAATATTGATTTGCAAGGCATGTAATGACTTCAGTTTTAAAAATATGACGACGAGTTTACAGGCCAATAATTGCAGGTCGAATAAGAATTCGATCAAATTTTTGTATCTTCACAAAAATAAGAGTTCGTTCGAGCAACATCGATTTACAAAACATGTCGACAATTTTCGAAAATACGACGTGTCAACGATAGAGTTAAGTACAGGTCAGGAAAATGTTTGAATATTTTTGATTGTGTTGGATGGCAAAAAAGGATTGTTGTAACCTCGTCAGTTTGTGAAAATGCAACGGTGAAATTTGCAGGGCATCTAAAAAAAAGGAAAAATGCAAATTGTAATGAAATATTTTGTTTGAAAGGGGCTTAAGCGTCTTGAGACCTTTCTTGCATCGAATATTGTACAATTACAATAGGGTGAATGCGAATCTCGATTATCTGAATTGGTGTCGCTATTATCATCGGTATATAATATAATACAGTAATAATACAGTAGAACTCCATTTATGTGAATCTGTTGGGGACAAGCACGCTCGCATAATCAGGCTATTCACTATAATAGGAGACAATCTAATTCCCCCCATTAACTGTCACTTTTTATCCAATTAATAGGAGTTTATATAAAATGATTTACAAAATGATTTAAAAAATAATTTTGCAAGTATAGTAACTATTTCTGTTCAATGAATTAATCTTTCAATTATCTTATTTTATATAACCATTTATTACTAATAAATTATTTAACTTGATTGTTTTTGTATAATTTATTCCCCTGAGAAAGCAATAATAATGAATTTTTCAACGTTGATAATTAAGATTTGCTCGAAATATCAACGATGATAAAATCGAAATAGAAACGACAAGGAAACAAGAAGAATTAAGGAAAATGGGACATTAAGTTTAACATTAGCCTGCTATCATTTAATTAAAGCGCGGGCCCTTGTCATTAAAGAGAAACTGGCGTTGGCAGTTGCAACTGTAATGCGTCCAATTAACACGAAACTCGCGTCTCGCCAAATATTCCTGATCCCAATTACCTCTGAAAGACAGAGACCGAGCTCGATATTACGTTTGATCGCAAACATGTTTATTCTACTTGTCGCGTATATTGATCTCGATGAAATATCGAAAAAAGAAAAAATCTTATCCAAAGAAACACGCTCCTTCCATTCTCGAACAGTAAACATCGACATCGATTGTCTTCATTCTCATCTTCCTTAAAGGCATCTTCCTTAAAGATCGTAGAAATTATTATAAAATCGTTATTATGAAACACGATTGTACGTCCTTATATTGAAAGAAATATTATATTTCTAAAAATTTATAATATAAAAAAAAAAGATAGATATTATATTTAGTATTCCACTTGACTTTGATTCTTTTCCTAATTTGCATCAATTACGAAAACTTGATTGCATAATTTACGAGTTCATAATAACAGCTTGTTTATTGATCCTTGCCTAACATTTCGCATACAACTTGTCACTAGATTATCATTATTTACGATGAAAATCGATGCAAGCAAAAATATCCATGCATATTTGAATTCTAAAAAAAAAAAGAAAAGATATTGCATAAGATGAAAAGACAAGTTATACACGAGGAAATCGCGTGATTTCACAATGTTCAATTTCATCATATCCTCTTTCGACCTGTATCTCTTCGAATACAATAAAGTTACAATGTCAGAAGTGACATAAATCAATGCCACGTGAAAAGTGGCATACATCGATACAAAGAACTTACAATGCCTCGTCAGAGATGACATACGTCCGTTAAAGATTTAAGTTCCCAATTTTACCTCATTTTTTCCCAATATTCACTCGTACAAAACTCTCACACAGACCCATATATGTGTACACTCAGTCACAAAAGTGTTCGTACATCTTATGTAAATTTAACAATTAATAACAATTCTTTTTTCATATAAAACGTACATAGTACTCCTCGAAATCTCACAAATCTCACGTATTTCTATTTCTCTCTATTCAAATATTCTATTCGTACAAAATTCCACGAGTTACCAAATTGCCCATTCATAACACAATAACATCCGTTGTATAATATTCTACGTACGTACGAAAAAAATTTTCCTCGACTTGATTTCTCAAAGATCGAATAAACTTCCTTCAACCTCCTACACTTTCGCGACCGACTGTACTGCCCTATACGATACGTGTATACGTATACATACGCCCCCTGTACATCGAAAACGAATCCTCGAAAGCGATTTTTTCTTTTTTTAACCGATACTTTTACAGCGGTCTCGCGATGACACGAGGCGCATGGAAACAGCGAATAAGCCCGATTCGTTAATGCCACGCGACCGCAGACAGCTCTATCGGGCTGATGCTTCGCGGTTTCGCGGATCGACAGTCCGATATCGGCGGGGCACGGACGAGAAATTAAAAACAGGATACACCGGAATAAAATACGCTTCGCTCTGGCTATCGTTCGTTACACCGATATGTATATATTTGTACGTACGTATACCTGTTCCCCGCCGATAAATTCGCCGTAACCACGCGGAATAACGTGTATTCTCGCGACTTCGTTCGCCGTGTCTCCGTCGTGAATGCCAACCGGCTTGCATTACTTTTGACCGATAATAACTATGCCACGCCATCGTTCAGGGCGCGCGATGAATAAATTAACAACAGGGAATCATCCGTTCGGGCTCTCGTTTCGATAAAATTATCACGTAACGGCGTTTTATGAGTTGGAGCGTTTCGACGGGGGCGTGACATGTTGCAATTGTTGCGAATTAATCTTCGAATGTGAATTCTTGGAAGGATTCTTGTTGAAAATAATTGTTGGTGATTGATGAAATTTTGATGTTATTATTGTTGGTGAGCGTGTTTCTCTCTTTAAATCGAGTTTAAGTGTTTAGATATTTGGAAAATTTAAGGGGCGAGCTGAAATATTTCGAGAGGTGTTGTATTATTGCGAATCAATCTCTCTCTGAATGTGAATTGGAAGGAGAAAGGAGAACGGTTGATGAATACGTTTTCATGGAAATTTTCATTCTTGAAGTTCGATTCGTTCAAGTATTGATTCAGATTTTTAGAAGATTTAATGGAGAGGAAAAATTGGATAATTGTTATAGGAGAGGAGATGATCGGAATTTTATCCATGAATATTTTACGTTTCGAAAGTATTTATGAACCCTTAAGAATTTCGAATTTTTTAAAATCTTTTTTTTTTTTTTAAAGCGAAAAGATTAGACAATTTATTCATGGGAAGAAATCTCATGAAATTTTATCCCCCGAATATTTTAAATTTTTATTCGTAAACAAACTTTGAACAATATCCACGAATATCGTCGAATTTTTCAGATTTTTTTTAAAAGCTTTACATATAAAGAAGATTTATCTAGTAAATGTGTCCGTCTCTCATTCAGAGATAATATTCAAATTAATAAAACACGAGGTAAAAAGGTATATCGGCTGTATAATGGATGGAAAAATGTGCAGGCTGTTGTGGGCAGAAATTAAGTCAAAAAGCTTGTCTCGACCACCGCAAACTAGACGTTGATGTTTACCCGGTTACTTTTATCGAGCGTGCTAACCGCAAACTGTGTACCGCGCCAGTTTCGGTATACTTTCAAAATATCACGCATACCATTAACGTTACGAAACACTTTTCCCTTTTCGAAATACTTCAAACGGATGACAAAAATGCAAATATTTGCAATTTCTCATTAAGACAGAAATACACGCAGACATAAAGACAAAAAGAAATCTTTATCGTTCATCTTTCTTTCGAAATAAATAGGAATTAAATTAATTATCCGTTGAAACGTAAAAACTTTTTCAAAAACGATATCTCAATGTATCAAGTATATACATCGTTTATAAATCTTATAATCTTTATCCTAAACGAACGAATAACGAAATATCTTTAGAAACTTTAGAAAATATATTTCTATTAAAACAAATTATTCGTATAAATTATAATAATTTATAATAATTTAATCGCAAAATAATACGAATCGTTGAAAATTATTTACCCCGAAACAGGGAAGGATCATCAAAAAGCGAACGTTTCGGGTTTATTAACCACAGGTAATATGACCTAATCTCTCACCCTTCAACCCCCTTCATCTGCTCGAATCCATTTCCTCGTATCCTCCGTGGATCAAGGTAGATAGGTTTCTGAACAAGGAGGGTTAAAATAGATCCGGGATGGATTCAAAGTCGAAGTGGTTGGAGCCGCGCATTAAACGGTAATCGCTGTTGTTTCAACTCTTCGCGGGAGGAGGATCGAGAGGCGAATCTTCGAGGCAAATATTGCTTGGAATCTTCAAGGCAATATGACTTGGAATGTGGAGGAAAAAAAAAAAAATAAAAATAAAAATAAAAATAAAAATGAGAAAAAAAACAAAAACAAAAAAGAGAAGGAGAGGGGGGGAAAAACAATTTGGAACTTTCGTCGAGCAAAAGCGCGAAACGCGCGAGGCTTTGATTTCGTGGCAGAGGGAAGAAGGGTGAAAACAATGGGTGGAGAGGTATATATATATATTTCGCGAAAGCCAAACCGAGTTTCATACGCGCGGATGCGTAGCTACGGTCCATTTAAATATCACTGGCCACTCGATCGCGCTCGCTTTATTTTTCCTCCCCCGCCTCGCCTGCAAAAATCGTTTACAATTTGCTCTGTGGCGTCTGCTTCAACCGATCAAATTTGATTCGTTTCACCCCCGTGAAACGGGGGAAGCGATCCGTTGAAAATATTTTTTTTTTTTCGGAATTAGGGATGGTGTACACATCGTTCGAAGATTTATCGTATTTTTTTTTTTCTCTATGATCATTCGATACGAACAAAAAGGAAAAAGCGATCAAATATAAATAAAGTTAATCAGAATCTGTTTATAATGTCGAGTTAATAGAATGTGTATTTTACACGATTGATATTATCGATTGTATATTCGTACTCGTGACTCGTATTCAGGATTAAAAATAAATGATCTTGAGCAAGGAAAGTATGATCTATCTCTGTATGATTCTTTCACTTTATCACTGATTTGATTGTTTTGTAATTTTAATTTTTATAATCTTTCTGAAAGTTTTGTTAAAGAACAAGTTTAAATTATTTCAACCATGAAAGGATAATTTTTTTAATTTTTACACGAACTAATTACTCGATAAAACGTCTTTAAAATCTCATTGTCGAAGTAATCTAATCTCTTTCACCAACCAATTTTTACGTTGAATTTGTATCGAAAAGAAAAAAATATTCCAATCTAATGTCGTACCACTACGAGTCCACCATTTGTCTTTTTTTCTGTAGTAAAATACCATTCAAACGCGTGTATATTCGCGGATTAAATCAATGTGCCAAACATATTATTCAACGTTACGTACATTTAGTCGTTAAATACGATCTTACAAATTATCGAAATCGATTGATTCATACGCAATGGAATACGCTTAATAGAATCGGACCAATCAAACTGCCGAATGAATTACTTTATTATAAATCCAATATTCGAGGCTCCACGATTACAGATTAACTGCTAATTAACGACTTACCATTAGCATAGCTTCCCAGGCCATCCATCGGATTGGCAATGGCGGCCGGCCCTCCACCCGGAAATAGTCGGCTGCGTAGGCGTTTCTTCCGGAGCCCAGATCGCACACTTTCACCGTGTAACCACGACTTACCAAACAATTCCTGCAACGAATCATACATAAATCGTTAATCAAAAGCGTAAAGCAGATTACAAAAATATAATTCGAATCACTTTCTTGCTTTCGTATTTTTTACTTTTAATGGAATCTCGTGATCGATCATTTTAAGGAAATTGTCAAAGATGCTCAAAGAATTTTGACGAATTTTTTTTAGTTTCTTTAAAACTATAACTACGATTGTAACAGTGTCCAAAAATCTTTAGAATTTAAAATTTAAGACACTCTCGTTGTAAAACTTCTCAGATGAAATTGTATTAAAGATTGAAGAAAATGTTAATAATTTTGGTTTTCAAAAAGATTCCTCGAGGAGGCTATGCTCTTTAAGCAATCGTTGAAATCAGAATTCTCAAGTTAGGCGAATTTCTTTATAAAAGGGTGTACGAAACTTTTCACTTGGGTTTTCATTTATGGTGGACATATTTTCCACCAATGTTTTCCCAATTCAATCATATTCGATTGATTTACATTAATAATATTGTTTTTCGTGATATTAACTGGACGAGAAAGAGTCCAGTTTCATATGATATTTTTCCTCGTTCTTTCGTTGCCTAAAACCGTGAACGATGTTTTTCTTCTATTCCGTACCTTTCATCCGGGGTAAAATCCATCGCCCTACGAGAAAATATGGTAGATTCGAAGTCGTAATCCGTCTTCAGGGCCGAGTGGATTATTCCGGTTTCCCCTATCTCGACACTCGAACACGTAGACGAATGTATCGCCGCGAATCGTGCTCGAAGGATTGGATTGTTTACGGCCTTGAGACTGGATCAACCCGTATCCGGAGGAGGGATAAGATCTTTTGGTGATACATGTGCGTTTGACGCGTACGTTGATCCATTTTGATGGAAGAACGTATATTTTCGCGCGACTAATTCGCTCTCCTTTCCGTGTGAGAAGTAAATATTGAGAAATTGTGTACCGAGATTAACGCCAGTGTATCGAATCTATTATTTATTATTATTATTACACAAGAATCTATTATTTATTATTACACAGGTTATTAGGATAGAAATAAATTCACACAAGTGTAAGTTAAAAGATAATTTTATGAAAAGTATTTGTATGCTTTTAATGATTGCAGAAACAAATGAATTTTTCTAAAACTCATTTTAGCTGTTAAATGTTACAAAATTAAATTTGAATATTACTCGAATAATATCCTTGTTTCATGGTAAAAGGATTAGACCAAACTCTTATCAAACTACCAATAATTTTTTTTTTACTAGTGAAGAGACAAACAATATGTTTCTTACATTCAATATATTCAAGGAATAATGAAAAATCAGTTAGAAATAAAAATAAGTAATTACTTCAAGATAAACATCTAGCTTCCTGCAATCATTAAACTTAACCACCACCAATGAGAACGTCTTCTTCCACGACACTTACCACGGATTGATCCATAAGATATTAGTTATTTGTTAATCATAATGACAATTCCTCCGCAGTTTATCATTCTTCTCTTCTTTCCTTCCTAGATCTTCCTTCCCCGAAGTATTCACGAGCTAATCACCGTTTTCAATGGCGAAAAGTTAGAGAGGAGGAGATCAAAGGACGACATCTCGAGGGCTCGGGGTAAAACCATTTTCGCCGACGAATGGGAATCCAAGGCGGCGCCCATTCGTCTGTCGCGCGTTTTCGCGTATTCTATAAAACCGCGTCTGGCGTGGCGATTGTGGAGAGCCGTTTCGAGAGTCGCCTTTTAAGAGAGCCCAGCCTCGAGCCGGAAGCGAGGCTCCGCCGAGAGCGACGATCGTTCCAAGTTTCACGCCGATCTCTGAACGTGAAAACTGCCCGTTTATCTGCTCGCAGTCGAGAGGGGGTTTAATAGGTAGCGGGTGTAGGAGGTATTCATCCCGCTTGTGAAATGGAATGGACACCGTCCTCGAGATCTCTGCAGATCTCTCTCGTGAAACTGATTCAACACCGCGGCTTAACGATCGCTTTAACGTATTACTATAAGTTTTCTAATTAGTCCTTTTCTGCTACGGAAAAATGCCGTAATTTTCTCCTCGCTGATGCTGAAAACGAGAGGGGGGTTTTTCTTTTTTGCAGAATTCCAATTTATGGAATTTATGGAGATGCATAAGTTAATAGAATTTGAAAATGTATTTGTAGAATTTTATCAATAGAAAATACAAATGCATCTAATTGATTAGACCTTTTGTCATTTTTCATTGAGCATGTTAAAAATTAAGGTCGAGTTGCTTCGCTAATTTTCCACAAAATGTATCTAATAATACGCTAGATACTTTTTAAATTATATATTGTTCGAGGAAAATTGACAAAAAGCTCTCAGTTTCTCGTTGTAAGATAATTCAACGTAAATTACCTTTACCACCAATTAGAGCAGTAATAAAATCAATAAGAATGGAGAAATAAAAGTAAACGTTATATTATACGTATTTCTTTCTTCCTCGTTTATGGAGCGCAATGCTCAAAACTCGTTTCTGTAAATCAACCGGCAATTAATTTCATCCGCCACAGACTTGCGACACCCTTTGTAATTAAAGTTTATGATTAGAGTTAATAATTCGAGCACGTGACCCAACCATCATCCACTCCACTCCACTCGTTCCCTTTTAACAGCCCTGACACGTGGAGTTGGCAACGAGGTTGCACGCAGGTCACCACGTAGTTTTATCGAGGATTGGAGAAGTCGTAACTCGATGAAACTTCCCTCTTAAAACCGGAAGTGGCTTACTCTTCGACACCGAAACGAAAGAAAGTTGGACGCGTGTTAGTCGACGAGGGGAAAGGTAATTGGCCAATTTGTCATTGTCTTTAGGGCGTAGTGGCGATTTATACGACGATGACTTCCACTTTGATTAAGCGGTCGGCTTAAATTTTTCTTTTTAGAAGATCGAACGTTTGTTTCTCGGACGAAGATGCGCAGAAAATTAAAATGCTTTCGGGAGAGGAGAGGATTTATATCGGTGACGAATGAATTCTAATTTCTTTTTTGAGTTTTTTAATGTACAAGAAATAAAAGAATTCATTAATTTTGAGCCTCCAAGTTTAATGGAAAAATAACGATCATTAATTGTCCATTAAAAATTCATGCTAATTCACTTTTTCGTTTTTAAAAAATAACCATCAACTTTCGTTCGAATCATTTCTTCCATCGAAATTAATAATAAATTGTAAATAACGAAATAAATATCGATATAATTCAAATAAAAGTCACACCGTTTCTTCAACACAATTTATAAATGTCCAGGAAAAAACTTTCGAACATTGTAAGAAGTTCGATTTTCCACATAAAAGCAAAATTTAAAAGGTATTTTCCTTCTCCAAAATACGAAACGATACGACGAAAATAATCCCAAGGAAAATAAAAAGAAAAAAGCAATCTCTTCTTCTCTGGTTCCGAAACTCCTTCCAAGCTTTCCCATTTAACGAAAGTTCATTAAGCAACCGAGCCGCTTCAAATTCTCTCCGCGCGTCAACGATTAACGCGCTCGAACTGCCGCCGATCGTTACCATTCCCGGAAACACGTGATGACAAAACTGTGCTGTGCCGAGTTTCTGGCCGAAATACCGCGCGGTGGAAGTTGCGAGCGCCTCGATCGAGCGGATATATCCCGTGCAAAAGTAACACCGGAAACTCGGTGTTTCGAGAGAAGAAAGTCAGCCGGCGGAAGAGCAACGCCGTGTCCCGAAAGTCGGGCCCGGGGAATGACTGATCGGCGAAGTTTCGACTTAAAGTAATCTACTGAGAAACCTGTCTGTCGTTACCTTGTGGCGAGATCCCGATGCACCAAGTCCATTTCCTCGAGGTGTTTCATGCCGGATGCTATTTGCGTGGCCATGTAGATCAACGTGCCGAAACTGCAACAGGAAGAACGAGAGGCGGGTTTCAGAAGTTTTGCACGATGAAACTTCGCGCGTATGTATGTGTGTGTGTGTGTGTGTGGCGTGTACACACAAAGACGTATCGGCTCGCCGCAAATGACGACGGTTTGGAAATACGTACGTATGGATCGGCCATTTGCATTAGAGTGGATGGCGTGGATGGCGTATCGTTGTTGTCTAGTGAAGGTAAGGTTCCAGTTGATGAAAGTTGGATGATGGTTGCTCCAATGGGGTTTTTTTTAACACTATGTACTATGATTTCATGTTTTTCGAGCATTGGGATATGTAATAAAATTTGCAATAACGAAAATTGCAGTAGTTGGAAAAAAGTATTGGAATCTTGTATTACTTTATTTTCCAAGAGACGTTTACCTTTTTTAATTCAATCAATTCTTTATAGTCTATATGAATGAAACTATTATTGAATATTATAATTATATAAAGCAAATATCTCTATGTATTTTAATTTGACAGAAAATAATGTATAGAAATAAATGCAAGATTCCAAAATTAGAAAATGATTTTATAAAAACTTAACACAATTCCTCCCTCTCAAAACTATCAACTTCACTACAATTTCCATACCCTCACGAGGCGTGTAAATCCTAATATACTCACGGGAGGTGGGTGTATAAATCCCTAACGTAAATTCGTAACGTAACATCATCATTCTCGATTATCGTTCCAACGAGTCTCTAACTCTAACGAAAATATACGACAACATATAGACGCGTCCATTCGTTCGAATACAACACCCACGAATACCTTTTTCGGTTCGTTACTTTGCATGCGCGGATTACACGACAGATTTATTCTAGTTCACCCGCAGTTCCTTCTAAATGGAAACCTCAGCAATCTCAGCCTCTTCCAATCCTTTCTTCCCATCCCCATTTTTCCCAACGGAAGACATTTATCTTTAATTTATCTTAGATCTGTTTTAACTATCCGCAATGCAATGATGGAAAGAAGCTCGTCAGATTTCTGTCAGATTCGAAATCCAATCGAATTCCGATTTCCCGTATTCCCGGATACGGCAAGCACTCAAAAATTCGAAATTCGAATTATAATTAGATACCGCGTCGAATCTTCACGGCGGAACGCGTATCATAGCACAGCTAGAACGATTCGTGTAGCAAATCGCAAAAGAATGCGAAAAGGGCACGCGTGAAAGAGTCTTAGCGCAAATCTACTTTTATCGATCGTACGAGAAGTCGTTCCGTTTTATCGGCCGGACACAGATGGAGAAATATTTGTCACGGAGAAATCGTCCGCTACGCAAATTTCCACTCGCTCGTGTAGATCGATACGGTTCGCCGGTTCCGCGCGAAGACAAAGAGTGGATACGAGATCTCTATCGGTCGGTTTTCTCTCTGCAATTCGGGGGGGAGAGGGGACGGAAACGGGCGCGCGCGGGAAAAACACGACCCGCCCGACAGCTGTCACGAGCATCGATCTCTCTCTCTCTCTCTCGTTTTCACCCGATTTCTCGTATTTCGAGCATTTTCCAACGAGGCGTGGATACGATCCACGCGTTGGGATCCACATGGTGCACGGTATGTACGCGATTGGACGTGACGGGGTATCGATGATAAAAATCGAAAAATCGGGCTCATCGAACGTCATCGTTAACCGGAATACCGGTTTCCACTCGCGAGTATCCATCGGTGGGTGGAATCGTTATTTCAGTTTATGGCGTGCTTGGCCAGTGGCTGCTTGTTTTAGGATGGCGTCTCAAGTTCGATTCGGGGATTTTTAATCCTGATATGAATTTGGTTGAAAGGGGGAGATTGAGATTATTCGGTTTGATGAGTATGTTGAGAAAGAGGATGATAGAAAGTTGAATAAAATAAGAGATATTTATTGATACAAATTGTTAATATTTCATCAATTTGTTTTTTAAATTTAAAAATATGAATATAAATTATATTACTCAATTTAATTTGTTTTTTAATTAAAAAGAAAAATATTGGCAAATTGATAAATATATATTTTGTAATTTATTTAATATTACGAGTGAATATTTTAGAAATATTGTATCTTCTTTTTTTTTTTTTTTTGTATTTTATAGAAATGAATTCCGTTTAAAATTTTAATACAATTATTATACTTCTTTATAATTCCATATTGATTTTCTACATGTGCAAATTTAAATAAAGCACAGTTAATTAGTTTTGCTTTTGAAAATTATTCATGAAATGATTAATTATTCATTCTTTACATTTCCATAATAAATCCAATACTTAAATGAAATCATTTAGTTGATGACGAAAGTTGAATACAGTTTCAGAATGAAAGCACACGAAATAAAGAAGCTCTATATATGATTAAATTCCCAAAGTTTCGAATATTAAAAATAGCGAAAAGAGATCAAACGAATTCCGTAAATTGACGCAACACAAAGACAATATTGGTATAGGTAGATATTTGTTTCCGATAAAATTATAAAGAAGAGCAAAAGTTACATCCCGATAATTAATCAAATTTTATCAAATACATCATTTTCAAACCAATTAATTTAAGAAATAATATAAATAGAATATATTCAAACAAGTAAATAAAAAGGGAATTACGCTCTCTCGATTACAATTAATTTTAAACGTATTTTAAAAGAGAGAAATTGAACGATAAAAGGGAGGGGAGGGGGAATAACGTAAACACTTCTGTGTTCTCACAAATATCGCAAAAATCCGGCAATGTCCCCTCTCTTCACGCTACTTCACGAGACACAAAACCCTCGTAATCCACGATAAGCCGCTCGTAAACGCGAAAGCAAAGAGACAATATTTACAAAAAGATTTTTAACGACGACCTTCTACGAGTTTATCCACCCTATATTACCCCTCCATATATATATACGACTATACATATATAATATAATAATTAATTAGTCTTCGTACCTGAGGGTCTTAGCAGTGTGCACGGTCGACGTTTCAGCTATATGCCTCTGCAGATATTGATTCAAATCCCCGTATTCGCCGTTCTCCAATACGATGCACATCGGGTCGTCCCCGAGGCTCGCGCCGAGCAGCCGCGCGACATTCCGATCGGCCAGCCGTGCCAGTTTTTTTGCCTCCTCTTGAAATTCTATCCTGGAAAAAACACACGACACAAAGAAGTAATATCTTTATGGTCGGCCACCCTACAAACCCGGGCCGGCTATTGAATACGGACTCGAGGTTATACTCGAGATAAACTATGTGATATACTCTCTCGAGTATATCGAGATATATATATATATATAAATATATAACAGTTAAGACTTATAATGTGTTTGGATAACTGGGACCAAAGGTCAGAAAATGGAATCAGGCTTGTTACAAAAAGTTAAGAGTTTGGATTATTAGATATTCGGATCACAGGACGTTGGAATCATTGGAATAGAAAAATAAGAGTTGTTTATTATCGAAGGTTCGAATAATAGGAAGCACAAAGCGAACGAGATCGGTCGGGCTATAACTCATCGTAGAGGGATCGTTAGCCACAGAACGTTTGAATAAGCGAAAGTTCGGGTAGAAAAGAGAGCAGAAGAATGGAACAGAACTGCTATAGAGTCGTTGCTATAGGCATTCGAAAAAGAAGGCGTTCAGACTATATAGAGCGCTAGAAACCGATCTGTTCAAATAATCGAGGGATTATTGGTCGGGCAATAGAGTTGGATGAGAACAGGTCCACCAGAGAATTCCGATTGGAGAGTTTGGGCAATAAGTTCGAACGACGATTCGATTGGATTATATGGATTTCATATGTAAACAGGATAAGGATAATAATTTTAACGGTAGATTATATTTTAGAATTGAGAGATGACACTCGTGGATTTAACTCGTTCTTTATTTATTTTAAAAAAAAAACAGTACGCGAATTGTTGGAATGGAGGCTGCATCGAACACACGATAGTTAGTGCAATTATTAAATATTATTAAATATTTATACGAAACAAAATAGGAGATCCGTGCTTGCACACTTACATTATAGAATATTCTAGATACTTCGATTAGAAACTTCAAAGAGAGGAAGGAAAGCCATCATTTCGAACATCTCCTTTAATCCGCATAAGTGAAAGAGGATAAGAAAAAATAAATATCACGTACGTAGACTTATCTTTTTTTTTTTTTTTAATTAAATTAAAAAACGAGCAGATCAAAATCCATAAATTCACGTAATTTCTTCGCTTTAGCACGACTTACCAACCACACTGGCAAAGTTATTCAGTTTCCTCTTGGGATACACATATATACATCTCTCTCTCTCTCTCTCTCTCTCTCTCTCTCTGCGTCGTCCTTTCGACCTTTCATGAAAAGAGAAGGGGAGAGGGGGAAACAACGGAAGAATGGAGGAGGGTTTTGTAGCCGGTGAAAGCTACGTAACACGGGGCCCGGGATAATGGCCACTGCTGAGATTATCGTTTCGAGAACTGCGAGTTCTGTGTTTAACAGAGCTTTTCGCTTGTGTTTCGGTTGTCTAATATTTAGGATCGCGATAAGAGGGTTTGCTGGCGGGCGTAACAACGTCCGGCGCAGTTGGTCCGAGGGAAGTAACGCTCCCTCTCGTCGAAAGATCGATCCTGCATGGATTTCGTATATTATTCGCGGAACGGTGGAGGATTTATATGCGATGCTCGAACGAGGAAAGTTGCAACGAATTTCCCGGTAATTATGGCCGGTAGTAGGTAGACGCTGGCCCCACCATCCCGTCTCTTAATTAATAAATTTCGCTATTTTGGGTAATTTCCAGGCGAGACAAAGAAGTTGTTTCCCCCACCCACGGCGTTGACCGTGGGGGAGGGGGGCAATTCCGGGAAATGCGCCCCTCTGGGGAGGTCAGCGAACAAGTTTCCGGAATGGTGGAGTTTCGAATCGAAACTTTCTCGCCGACGTAGGGTGAATCGTAATTTTTCGAAAAATTTCGCTGAACGAAGAAATCTCGCTAGGAGGATGGACATTAGAAATTAAGGGGAATCGTTCCAGCCAAGATTTTTTAATCGATCGATATATCGTGTTATGGAAAGAATTCTCTGAAGGTCTTTCGAGGGAAAAGATATCGCGAAAAATTTCGAAAGAAGAGGAAAGAGAACCCGATCGTTTTAATTGAAATTCGATACAATATTATCTATCTTTAACGAATCAAATTAGAAAATTGAGGAGGTTTAAAAATTAAGTGGCCCAAAATTTCATATGAAGAGAGATTCTATTTCAAAATTTTACGATACTTTCAAAAAATCTTAAATTTTTTTTAATTTTAATAAATTTCGGCCAGAAACTTGATTCACCGTCCAAGATATTTTTATTCTCCGCGGAGAAGAAACGTTGGCGGAGATGGAGCGAGAAAGGGATAAACGGGGACGATTGTACTTCCGGTATCCCGTTAAGAGGCCGCTCGACAATACACGTTCCGCGAGCGAAGGCAAGCCCTGTAATCCCCCGATCCTGTCTACTCGGATCATCCTTTCGCCGTGCCAGCGATAACGCAGCGCGTGTTCCACGCCGGGACACGCTTTATCGTGTACTTCCGCCTCCGCTTCCTTCGCCTCGAAATCGATCGACTTCCACGGAGACGAAATGCATAAAGTTCGGCCGAGAATGTTAGTCCCCTCATGAATTTTACATCACGTACATCACGATATAGATATGCAGAATTTAGAAGTGTGAAACGTTGGTTAATTAAATAGAAAAAGATACAGGTGTGTTTGCAATTGCATCGAATTTTCAAAAGATCCGTTTATCGAAGAGTAATTTCAAATGCCTTTATAAAAATCATTTATCTTTTCGATTAAAATGTAAAATTAGAAAAAAATGCTTCGAATTTTCATGTAAAAAAAAAAAAAAAAAAAAAACAGGGAAAGAAGTTACAACTTTTGACATCAAAACTCGCTCGGAAATATAAAGGAAACTATGAAAAGCTATTGAAAATCCTTTTTGTTTTATCCCGATATCTCAATTGCTACTCAATGGCTGCCGAGATATGAAGACTGGAAGTTTCCATATCGCTTAAGAGATTATATTATGTTATATCCTATATTTTTTTCTGGAAACGCGTATTACGTTCTTCCAGGAATCTCGTCTGTCACTTATCTGGAGTTTGGAGAAGCGAGAAGCATTCGAGGCCGACAAAGACGAGGATAATGAACGATTAAAAATTACCCTTTTCTTCACCCGATGATATCTTGAGAACCAGAAGTCGTATCGGGATAAATCGAAAAGTGTTTTGAAAGGAAACGTTCCGTGGTTTCAATGGTTTCTCATTGATCGATCGAAAGTCGCCACCTTCGAAGTTATAACGATTCAAAGTTTTCGTAATTTTAATAGAGTTTACGATACGATTCAAAGTTACCTTTTCTTTACGGGACGATATTTCAAGAAGAACCGGAAGTCGAATCGGAATAAATGAAAAAGTATTTCAAAGGCGAAGATTTCGCGCTTTTAGTGAACTTTGATTTGCTGACCGAAGGTTATTATCTTCGGAGTTATTAGCAATTTAAATTGCTAATTTTAATAAGAATTAATGGAAACCCGTAACCTAACGTAAATTATATGGGATATGATTATTTTATTCCTGGAAATATTTGAGTTGAATATTGAGTTAAATATCGAATCTTCTTATTTTTAGGATATTTTCAGGAAATATATGTATTTCAAATACGATTCTAAAATTTCTGAACGAAACCGGAAACTCTGAAACTTATAGCCGGAGTTATTTAATAATAAACTTGGAGAAACGTAACGAGAAACTTGCGAAACGTTGCTTTGTGCGCATTAAAAACGTCTAAACTCGATTATCAAAACGACCGAGACACGAGACGGATTTAAATTTTCCACGGTTGAACGTCGAGTCAATGAGAAACTTCTATACACCATATCCACAGTATAAATTCCCAGAGTTTATCGTCAATTGCGCGAAACGAGCCGAAGGATTTTTAGGATTCGGTTAATAGCCGACCTCTGCCGCGAAAAGTGCGCGACAACGAGCGCGGGCAAAGTTATTCGATTACAAACCGGTCATCGACCAGTTTAAACACTTTCTCCCGCATTAACGCGCCCCGACAACTTAATACGCAGCCAATCAATGTCATTACGCGTGAAATCACTTTGCACCTTGTTCATCGAATTATCGCCTTATTAACCTCCCGCCCTCTCCCCTCTCCCCTCAAAATATATAATCGATAAATTTCCACACATGACCCATGTATACATATACATATATATATATATATATATATATTCCATCTCTCAACTTGGATCAGCATCAGAGAGGATAGGAGCGAAACGGATAATCAAAGTATCGATCCATAATCGGGATAATTTCCCACCATTTTAATCCCATACTTTCCTCCCATATTTTCGGTTAGGTGTGAAATATCGGATCGCTTAATAGTTCCGGCCCACTCTATTAAACCCCGACTCGAAACGAGTGCGGCAATAAAGCGTTGTTCGATTCATTTCTATCGGCAAATTTAATTATGGCCGTGGAGCTTTATCGATTCCCGATTTCTACCGCGCGACGCGCAACAACCCCCCCCCCCTCCCCCTCCTCAACGTTGTTTCGCTCAGACGGCCGCGCGAAGAAATTGGCGCGGTAAATCGTGGCGGAGAAAATACTTGGCCGATACTTCGGAGGATCGAAAGGTTTATTCGTGCACGAGACGATGGAAACCGATAATTCCGTTTCCATACTCTGGCTTTTTTTTTTTTTAATAATTCTCCACTCGATACGTACGATTTACCATCCCCTTTTATTTCCTTCTATTTTATTTCGGAGGGGGAGGATAAACGTATCTAGATACCCCGTACGGGTCGGATCGTTCGCTTGTTTGTCGATAACAGCCTACGCTGTTTTCATTCACGGCGGTGTAACAAGCGTTCTACGTGCTACACACGCGACAAACTATTACTCAATTATTACTCTGCTATTGACACGGCTGCAATTTATTGTGCTGCAGCTGGATACATTTCGGTGGCAATGGCTCGGTGCCACGCTCTGTCATACCGAAATTCCCTTGTCAATTTTCGCGCATATATACTCAATTTATAGCGTTAACCTTCCTCGACATAAAAAAAAAAAAAAAAAAAATACGTCTCCAATTATTTTGACGATATTTAGAATTTCACGAGTTTTACCTTTTTCTATCAATTTAATTTTGACGAATGAAATTCGTATAAATGCGATATTTTGCGACGTGAAATTTTTATCATCTCCATACTTCCTACGTCCCTTTCATTTTCTCTCGATTATATAAAAAAAAGATCCATCAATATAAATGGCTCGCGCCAAACCACTTAGCTTCCGTTCCAAAAAATATTTTCCAATATTATCTTCCAACGATCGCCGAATGAAAAGAATTCTCCACCCGAATTTCCATCTTTATGATACGCGCAATAATCCAATAACATCCGATCCAACGTTTTCGATCTTTTCTTTGCATTTATACGTTTCCTCGAGCCCGAATAATCTCTTTCCTCCTCCCTCCCCCTCCCCCCCCGCCCTTCTGCTTTGAAAAATTATTACAACCGAGATTTTCCATATTTTCGATTCGACGTGGCGGAAATTTCCCGATGTTCGACGATACGAGATCCCCTCCTTTCCTTTCGATTTAAAAAAATTATATATAACCAAGATTCTGGATATCGATCTCGATAATATCGCGGAAATTTCCCGCTGCGTTTTCGATAATACAAGCCTCTTACCTAAGCGCATCCGAGGATCCAGGTCTCAGGGACTTAACGATCACCAGGTCGCTGGTCGTGTTCCGGAAAACTTCGTCGTAGCCTGGAAACCTGTCCACCTCGCAAATGTGAACGTCGCCGAAGTATCCGCAACCGAGGTTTTCAACGATGTTCAGCTTCTCCCGGGGGAAGTCTAAGATGCACTCGGCCACCTCGTCCTCCTCCTCGGTGAGCATGTCCTCGGGACTGTAGCTTGTCATGCTGCTCGAGGCTTTCGCGCTCATCGGGGGCGGTGTGCTCGGTGTTGGGGATGGTGGCAACGGTGGCAGGGAATTCTGCGATAAAAATCGAGACAGCGGTAATGCTCGACTCGAAGACGAGAGACAAGAATTGCAACAGTTATCCAAGAGTTTCGAGAAAACATCACATGGAGTTTCACCTAATTCCCCTTTCTTTAAATTTATTTTATTATTTTTATTTCTTTAAATTAAAATGGTGGTTTGTGAATACAGAGATTCGAATTCGAATACCTATCCCATCTCGGTTACTTGGAGGGAGAAATTTTACTATCGTCCATCCATGTGGATGAACAAGTACGTAACAAGCGTACGTGGAGAGCGACGTGGCTCGTGGCATTTAAGAAAAATGACTCTCGAGACTTATTTCATTTTCAAAGGAATTGGCTCGAACAGTTCGCTAGAGAGGAAAAAAAAAAAGAAAAAAAAAAAGAAAGAAATTAACGTCGTGATTAATTTTCTATACTCCGGTTCCGATTTCTTTTCGCCCTTATTTCTTTTTATTTTCTTTTCTTTTCTTTTTTTTTTTTTTTGCCCCCGCCTCGTTCCTCCACTCTTTCCTTTTCTTCTTCCTTTTAATTAGAGCGTTTAAAGTTCGCCGTACACCGCGTGTTCAACAGCGCGTGTTAAAATGCATCGCGCTGAGAATAATGAAGCTTAATGGACGAAAAACAGGGGAACCGGAGAGGACTATCAATCATGACTAATGCGAGACCTTTGCACGGGGAGACGTCTTACGAAAGCGTGCAATGATCACCGCCCGATAAATGTATAAAGTCCGTGATTATTGATCGCGTATTTTTATTTTTTCACTGTTGTTGTTCGCTGTTACCGTTTTACCCCGAATATCGCGAATTAACTTCGCCTTTTTTTGTGTGTAAAAATCGCGAACACGTGTGCTAAATTTAAATTAACATTTATAATTGAGAGGTTCCGCCCTTAGAAGGGAGTGCAAGTGCATTTTTTTTTTTTGCACTCAAGCATGAAATTAAATACACGAAGATACACGAAATTCCGCATCCGTCCAACAATTCTTGTTATGTATCTTCAAATTTTCAGGAAAATTCCAAGTTAACGCATTTTTAATATCTCAGTTTAATTTCTACCTGTAATTCTCTCCAATTATATAATCTAATAAAAGTTTCGTACAAAATGTATTTCTAAAACAAAGTGCAAAACAAGAAAATTTCATTCTAAAAATATAATTACATCATAGAAACGAGTTAAAGAAATTTTCCAATTTTATGTGAACGAGATTAAAAATTTCGATTTCAATAGACATCTTTATCGATTTAAAAATACATAGATCACGCGTTACCACAAAAAACAATCGATTATAACTCGATAATAGAATTATCTCTAATCCTGATAACCCTTCCTCTACTTTTAACAGTAGAGGAAGCAAGTAATTAAAGATCAATCAAAGTCGATCGTTGAATCCTCGACTAAACTTCACTAAACATAAACAATCTCACGCCAATCGAGAGGATCCCTCGTCCAATTTAAACACCGTTTCGCGCAACGATCAAATTTGACTTCAACGCGTGCGTCTTCAGAAAACAACGAGGCGTTAAGGGAAACGATTCGAAACGGTTGTCGCCATGGCGACGTAAGATCCACAAGTCACGAACCGGTGTTTGACACAGTTCCAGTCGCTCAAGTGGCCCGCATTAATGCCCAACAACTCGCCAATCGTCATGGATCGCATGACCGGCCTATATTTTTCTTTTTTTTTTTCTTTTTTGATACTCACCTTACAGATCTCCGTGCTGGCGTAATACTTTTCCGGTGGCGGCGGTATGGGGGGCGGGTTAGATGGATATTCTTGAACCGATGGAATCGGCCTGGCAAGATTGATCGCAGTGTTCAGCAACAGTGGAATAACCGGCTGCACCTCCGTGATCCCTGTGATACAGTGGAGGGGAGGAAAAAAGAATTTTGACAAGATTAGAGACACGATGGGGCACGCGAAAGATATACATTACTACACTACTTCCTCGAAACTTTGAGCATTTAATTTTTTTCTTTGAGAGTAAAAAGTGACTTTTTGTCTTATTATTTTTATAAATTTTTTTACGATTAATCACAATTATCGATTAAGTCATTCAAAAGTTGATTAGATCAATCTTTGGGAATTAATATATTTCTCGAATACTCGATGAATCTGCTGATAAAGAAAAAGTGATTCTTTAAAAAATTTATTTCTTTAGTTTATCTACATTTTACAAGTAAGTATCAAGAGAATCATTTCGAAAAGATGAGGGACGTTGAAAAGAAAGGAATATTAAACATCCTTGGAAATATTAAATTTTTTAAAGGAATATCATTGAAGTAAGATAAAGTTCTAGAACGATAAATAAGACTTTCGAATCTCCCTGTACATTCGTAATTCAAACGATATACGTGAATCTCGCGATTAAATTGCGAAATTAGCCAAGCGTTTCATTATGCGCAATCGGTTATACGCAGGGTTAATTAATCGCCAGCTTTGTTCCAAGTGCACGATTCAGGATTAATCGGAAGGAGATTTATTTTTTAATCTCTCTCTCTCTCTCTCTCGTTCGAGATACGAACGAAATTTCATACCATCCGTTCCATACCATCCATCTGGGCGTAGAAACGAAACAACTCGGTCAACTATTCGAGCGATTCCTGGGCTCGATTCGAACCATACTTTTCAAAACTCCGTTCACGAGTTAACACGAATTCTTTTCCATTCGCCTTCAATTATGACCGAGGATAAATTATTATGCGCGAGAATTACGAAATTCGCAGATACTTTGATCTTCCGGGCCGAGAATCAAAAAGCGGAATCAAAAAGCGTTTCGAAGCGAGCGAACGTCGAGACGGATTGAAATACGGGAGGAAGGGGAGGGGTCAGGGTAAATCGACGCGCCATTTTATGATTCGCGCCCCTCCGAGCGTTCAAGCGTCGACTTTAAGTACCACGAACTCTATAATATCACGTCGATCATTAGAACCGCAATTTAATTCGAACGGTGCACGCTCGCATATCACGGTAGGTGTTGCGCGTTTATCGTTCGACGGCCATACGGCCCACGGCCACCCCTCCGATTTTATGTAATTTTAGTCAAAGGCAAACTCGATAATGCACCGCAACGCGGGGCCACTCGTTTCCAGTTTTCCCGCTATTGAATTACGCGCCGCGTTAACACGCATCGAGGGTAGGGAAACGTTGCTAAGGTTATGAGTATACACTTCACGAAATAATTCCGTTGAAATTTTTCTTTTTATCGAGAGCGAAACATATTCGTCGTGTCGATTCAAAATATTTTAGGATCGATTTCGTCCCATTTTTCGATAAAAAAAAAAAGAAACAAATCAAACGTGTGCATATCCCTTTGCGCTCGAACAAGTCGAGACGATTTTTTTTTCGTATAAAACTTTTATATTTTTGATATTCTTAATATGTATCTTTACATATATAAAGAAAGAAAATTTGTTATGAATGTTAAACTTTATATCGTTGTTTCGTGCGATATTTTTAAAAAGCGATATCGTTTTCGATTTTTTTATTTCGTTGAAATTGAAATCCTTAATTCTTCTCTTAACATTCATCGTCTATTATTCTTATTTCTCTCTTACTTCATCATTGCTTTCCTTCTCCCTATCGTCGATTTCTTTATGAATAGAAATAAATTTCGTCGTTCTAATTTCATTATCACGTTCTACGCTTACGAATGCCAAAGATGCGTCATTTTCTCAATTTCACAAAAGAAAATCTACCTATTTGACGCAAAGAGCTTAGGAATCTATCCCAACGAAGCTATATTCCAAAAAAAAAAAAGAAAAAGAAAAAGAAAAAGAAAAATCAAACACAAATAAGTATCGTCGCAGTTCGAATCCAAGTGGTGGCCGAGGATTCGAGTGCAAAGGGATACATATAACCTTTCATATTTCATTCAAAGTGAAAATTTTCGAATTAATGAGTTGAATCGACTGAAAAATTTGCAACTTCGCAACGTAATGCAAACGATACGTTCCAAAGCACAGGGGGGAGAAAATTAATCTAACCAACCGATCTCGCGCACCTGTACATTCCCTCCGCACCCCCTCCCTCTCCCCTCCGAAACATCACCGATCTCCAATGCAAACGTATTTGCATCGACGAAAGGTGTAACCGTCCGTATTCGGGTGGAACTTTTACGAAAATTTCGAGCTGGAAATTCGGGTTGATAAACTTGGCGGAACACGTTGTTGATAATCGTGAAACTCCTCCTTCGAGCCGGGCTCGAATTAATTTAAATCGGCGTAACTGTTCGTGCGCATGGGTTGGAAATTCGAAAGGCTTAAGTGTCGCACTTAACGTCAACTACCAACCGCTGTAATCCGTGATAGTTTTGTGTAGTTGCGGTGTCGTCGTGGCGTAGGCGGCCGGGTGGTACTGCGCCGGAAGCGGAGGGCAAATTGGTCCCTTGTCCTCGCCCTCCTCCTGCACGGAGACCTGCGGGCCGAATATCGAGCGTTCTCGTTAATGTAACTGACGTTTATGCGCACATACGCGCGCGGTAAAAGCGATACGCCACAGGAAACTTTCCGCCACTTCGCGCCACTCGTCATCGTACGCCTCCTCCTCCCCCACCCTCGTCGTTTCGAATATTCATCACCCATCGAGCCCCGTGCTTTTTCTTCTTCTTTTTTTCTTTTATATGGATATAAAATATCGTCGCCAATGTGCTTCTGGATAGATTCGATATTACATAAGATTGGATACCGTTGCTTAATCCTTTCAATTTTAAAATTTTGAATTTTTCGAAATTTGCAAGGGCTTGAGATGCATTGTAATATTGAATATATATATATATATTATATATATTATTGCAGAGACGATATAGAAGATTAAAAATAAATATCGCGCGAGGCATTAGAAGAAGTGTGAACGAAGGAGCGTTTGTAAAAGGGATGTATGGTGTCGATTTCGTGATTAAACTTCGAGAATATTTGGCTCGTAAAAAGTGTTCGCAAAATTATTCATAAACGGTCGAATATAACGAGGTCATCGAAAACAGAGTCGTTGGTCGGAGGGATGAGGGAATTTACATTGAATTTTTTCCCTTTTCCTTTTTTTTTTTTNTTTTTTTTTTTTTTTTTCCCTCCACCATTTTTTACATTCTCATTGCATATTTACACGCTAAACTGATACTTTCGCGTTATAATATAACCAATGCATAATTCATTGGAAGCGTGGCAACGCTTCTTCCCTCCTCCTTTTTTCCTCGCGCCTTTTATATTCTTCTATCATCCCGCATCGGTGTTTCTCAGCAACACTCCAGGTTCCGTCCAGATTAATGCGATCACTTCCCCCAACCGATTTTCCCCAACCTCGATTCCCCATTCGAAATTCAAGGCGAAAGGAGGTTATTAAAATTCGATCTCTCATCGTGGCTATCATTCATCGTCATTCGACGAAAGAACCACGGAACCGCGGCGTGGCGTGGCGTGGCGTTGCTAATAATTTCATACGACGTAATTATCGGCACAATGCATCGATACGCATTCAACGGGCCACGTAATTCCCGTGAATAAAATTTAACCATATCATCGGGTAATTATCAGTCATCGCTCTCCCCGGATGGCCGAGGAAATTCGATCAGAGGGGGTGGGGGTGGGTATCGCTTCGTTGGTCCATAATCAATCTTTTAACGAATATTCGGTTCATAATTCAGGTGAACGATTAAACGTTTTTGTAGAAACGTAGAAAAGAGGAGAGAATGGAACGATAAGAAGAGAAATTGTGGAATAATTTGGATTTACTGGCGATTCGTTTTGCCCGTTGGATTTTAATGACTCTGTGTTTCTCTCTTTATCACCACCATCTATCAGCAGAGAAGGAATCTTAGAATTTAATAACTCGAATATTATCGATCTTATTCGAAAAAATTCATCAAAATGAATCGAGTCGAGATTGTCAAGATTGTTGTAAACGCTTCAGTCATTACGTGTGATCATTAAAAATTTGTTACTGATCTTTTTGACGGGTATTTGTTACTGAAACGTGAAAAAAAAAAAAAGATGAAAAAAAGAGAATTAAAATACACGATGCTTGAACTAGATGCATATACATACAGGCAAAAGGGATTTGCATATATTTTCATGTTCAAGCGAAGCAAATATTTTTATCACATTCTACATTTTCATTTTATCTAGAACCATTTTGTCTACCATTTTTTCCCTTTTCAATTTTCTCTTCTAAAAATAAATAATAATAATAAACACGGGAATCAAATTTATAATTTTTCTTAACAATAACAAGTAATAGTATACTACGATTAAAATCAAAAAAATTACGATTCAATGAATAAAAAATTTATTATATACGATCGCGTTTCCTCATCAACACCTTTTCCTTTTTCCTCGACGGATCTTTCTACGGATCGTTGACTCGGAAGGGGAGAAAGAAGAACCTCGGCTCGCCACCCCAGGAAATTAATGCTTTCATTGTACGGCAAACAATCGTGTTGGCCAGAAGCATCGTGTCCCTTTCCTTTCGATATCACCGAGCCGATAAGCTCACGTCGAGCACCCATCGTATATATATATATATATATAATATCCATTGATTTTTGCCTCTCGTTCTCAAAAGCCCTTCGAGCATTTGCTCCTCACGGGGGAGAAGGGCATCGCCGGCTGAGGAGGGCGTTAATTTCCGTTTAGGAAGCGTTAGGGTGGCAGAGAGATGCTCTCCGCGACGCAGTTAAGATAAGATGGCCACTTAGCCATCGAGATTCTACTCGAATCTCTTTGCTCCTTCTCTTTCCTTTCTTTCTTCCTGCTCTATCCTCCCCTCCTCGTTTCCTCGTCCCTTTCCGTTCTACAAGAAGTGGTCGAATTAGATTTTTGGAAAAACTTTGAATAACATTTTTCGGCTTGAGAGAATTTGCAGAAGACGCCATCTCTTTGATGTTAATTACAATTCGATCAAGAGAGAAAATTCGAAATCTCTTCCCTTTCTTTCTTCCCGCTCTATCCTCCCCTCCTCGTTTCCTCGTCCCTGTCCATTCTATAAGAGATGGTCGTATTAGGGAAAAAGAGACAAAGATTCGAAACCTTTTTCTTCTATCCCTCCTTCCTCGTTTCCTTATCCCTTTCCATTCTACAAAATGATACGAGAAAGAAGTACGATCGAATTAGATATTTGGAAAAACTTCGAATAACACTTTTCGGCTCGAGAGAATCGAATTTGCAAAAGACGCCATCTCTTTGATGTTAATTACAATTCGATCAAGAGAGAAAATTCGAAACCTCTTTCCTTTCTTTCTTCCTACTCCCCTCCTCGTTTCCTCGTCTCTTTCCTTCTACAAGAGGTGATCGAATTAAATATTTGGAAAAAGTTCGAATAACATTTCTTTGACGTTAATTACAATTCAATCAAGAGAGAAAGTTCTCGATATCCATTCGAGAAGAAACGGAAATATTTATTTCCCCCGACCCAATATATAACGTTTCGTCTCCCTTCCTGTCACCTAGCTCTCTCAATTTCTCTCCTCCTTTTTTCACTTCTTCCAGGCTATCGCGACACCTCCCCTCTCAACATTCGAAGAGACCGCGTTGATGAGCGTCGTTGGCCACGATTTGATGGCTCGATCGAAATGTCCCCCCTTTTCCTGTCCGTGGATATCACGGTTTCACGTTGGCGGCCAAACAACGGCCAAGATATATAGAGCTACGATCCTTTATCGAACGAGATCGCGAGAGATGAGAGAGAGGGTGGGGAGAGATTGGCACGTTCATTTCGACCGTGGTCGCTTGTTTGCTCGTTGATACCGGCTATGATCCATGGAACACCGGCTACGTCGCGGTAATTGGCAGCGTGGAAATCTTGGAGGAGGGGGGAGGCGTGAGAGGCGGCATCCACCTCGATGATCGAGGCGAACCTGGATGATTCGATACAACGATGGAAAAATTAATTACCGGGAGAGCAATCACAGCGCGGCATTTTCGACCGATCTTCGCTTGAGCGAAAAATAATCGGGCCCGGCTCCGCCAGTTAATTGAAAATTAGTAATTACACGATAAACACCGTGGCGGTGGATGGTGAAAAGAAGTGTGGAGGGCAAGGTGTGTTAATGTTTTCGCGCTTAAAAGGGTTGATGGGCGTTTCGTTTCGAAAGATCTTAAGGATATTGTGAGTGTTCTTTGTCCTTGGAGTTCGAGAGAATGTAAAGCATTGGAAGAGGTGTAATAGAAGATGTAATAGAATGTCGAAGTGCGGAAAGGTGTTTAATAATTTAAAATATTCGATGGAAAGATTTTATGAAATGTGATCTTTGAAATTGATTTTTAGAAAAGAGAAATTATTATACAGGAATAATTGAAGTGTTATCGTTTTGTAAATATGCGGGTGAATTCTATTGAAATGTCTGGAGTGTATTAAAAAAAAAAAAAAAAGGAAAAAGGAGTGTCTCCGTTTTGAAAAATGATTATCGCAATTATCGTAAAGAATTGTTCAGAAGAGCGCGGAGTGTAATTCGGAATATTCATGGATACGAAACGGTTAAAACAAAATCACTGAAAGCTCTTTTCATCGTTTTAAATCCACTTATAATTCTGAATAATGTAATTCCCCGATGCACAATGCTGAAAATTAACAACACACGTCGAACGTTAAAAACAATACACGATCCTTATACTTTATTATTCACCCGAAACATTATTATAAACCAGATATATTTCATTAACAAAAACGCACGGATTAACACTCGCAAAAAGAGGAAATACACGGAAACATGCATGTAAATCGAAATAAAATTACAGAAAGAAGACGATTTCCATAACGGTAATATTATTATTCAAATTGTATTCCTACAAAGTAAAATAATCCAAATAAAATGAAACTTTTGTTATTATTATCATTCTTTTTTTTTTTTTAATATATTTTACGCATCATAATGATCCTCCCTTATATTTCTAACCTTTCTTTTTTATACCTCATATAAAATTAAAAAAAAAAAAACCAAATCAGAAAACGGAGCGTATTATCAATTCATCATTCAAAGAATATAAAATTAATCCAAAATATCCTAAATTCTGAATTACACAACGATCTTTCAAAAAATGTATAAAACACAAAAAGAAAAAAAAACCATTTCACCCGTTGTACACGATCATCATCCGTATCCCTGTCCCCCAAAATACCGACTTCTTCCCCTAAATCACCCTGTTCATCGTGGACAGGGCCATAATACCCTCCCTTTCGATCGACCAATGTTTGTAGCGGTCGCGAGTATATCAATCGACCTCACAAAAGGACCCCTCTCGATTGATACGTCCCTTTTCGATTGTGACGTGAAAACGTTTTTACTCGAAAATATCGTAGCCACTGGTGAAACGTCTTCCGGATATTATGGATATATCCTCAACGGTTCGCGATACGCTTCGACGAAATAAACGAAGTCGTGTAACGTAAGATTAGAAACAGTGTAAATGCTTCGCAAAACGTATCAT